AAAGGAATTTTTAAGGAAAGGTGATGTAAGAGGGGAGGTCTCGGCACAAGTAAATGACAGTTTAAGAGGTACGGTCAAAGGGTAGAAGTAGAAGGTCAGTTCTCAGTTAAAGGAGGGTCCCAGTTAATTTCCACAAAGACCTGTGGAGCACGTTCATGAATGGTATCAGTAAGGGGATGAGCAGTTGGGTGAGCAACTTTGCTGTGAAGAAGAAAGCTAGCTGTGGAGAAAAATGGAAGGACATTAAAGTGCTGAGGACTATAAAATAAAATTGGTGATAAGATTCAGTACAGATAAATTATGATGATAACTAAGAAGGATAACTGGGCAGAAGAATCCCTTTTATGTATTGGACTAAGAGTTTGAGCTGAGTATTACCACTGAGGAGTAACATTTGGGAATTGTGATTGGCAGTCCTCTGAGATCATGAACTCATTGGTCACCAAAACACAATCCAAATATTAGACTAGAATTGTACAGAATAAATTTTGAGAATGTCATTACAAGAGTGTATGTGTGAGTTGCTTCCAAGTGTTGTGTGTATTTCTGGAGCCTTCAAAGGTATATTAGAACTGGAAGAAGCTTAGAGAAGGTCAGTAAGGATGATGAGCTACATACATGGCTCCTATTAAAGAACATTTCTGTAAACTGGAACTTTGCTCTGGGGAAGTAATTAATTGAGGACAATGTTGTGGACATGTGCAGAGCAAGGAAGACGAGTACTAACCACTGCCTTTCAAAACAAAAGCATGTACAGTTAGAAGGGAAGGCACATTCAGAGCCTTCAAAAATAAGAGATTCTCCATTAAATCAGTGGTGGAGAGACCTATGGGATGACTTGTTAAACATGTTGTAGATACTATAAAAAATTATATGGTTTCCAGGAGCATTGCAGACTATTGCTTGGAAGGGTGATGTGCTCAAAGTTGCTAAACAGAAACCACATATGATTCAGAAGGTCCCCTGCATCAAAGGAGCAGGGGTCTGAAGAGAATCAGAGAAATATCACACATCTGTGACCTGTTCTGTACTTTTGGCTATTACTGAAGATAGAATACTGGCCTAGATGTAGCACTAACCTTGCCCTCACACCCACGCTCATTTTAAGGTGCCTTGTGGTAAAGGAAAATACTTTTCCTTAGAAATATCGAATTAGTTCCTGACCATATTAGTGTATAATCTCAGGTACCTTTAGGTGGTATGTTCATGCTTGCATGTGCATCTACAGGATTTCCTTTGCATTTTATTATAAAAATAGTATGGGCTTGCATGCAGATTAAACAGTAACCAAAGTTTGTTTTCACAAAAGCATCATCACTTTAAAAACGGGTGCAGATTATTCATGAGGAGGAGGGGTGGTGGTGGTGGTGTGATTCCAAAACACACAAAAACACTTCCGCAGGTTTTAAAAATTCTAACAGTAATTACACTAACAGTGTTATTTGTATCACAGTCTCTCTGAAGTTTTTAGAAAAACATCTATGCAGTGCCATAGAGATTCTTAAAAAGTCCATAAAACCACAATCATCAGATGGGTTAGCTCTAGGCAGCTCTTGTTTCCTTTAATTTAGTATATAACCAGGAATCCTTTGGAACATTTAGTAACCAAAACTGAGCTCTCAAGATTTAAAGTGGACCTAAGTAATCTGAAACATGGAAAGCTCACAAAGAGATGCTGGATGGTATTGTGATTTTTTTTTTCTTTAAATTACAGACTATTAGGTCATGCTAAAATAAACATTAGTAAGTTCATGTTCTACTTTTCCAGAAACTTAAGGGAAAAAAAAAGGACAAGCATGATAGAATTTTTCTTCTATATTCTGAAAAAAAAAGTTATGTAATCCTCTTTCTAGTGTAGCATATTATAACAATGAGTTACTTTCTAAAATTAAAAAACTAGTTTTCCAAATTTCATGACTGTAGTACAGCTCTCAGAATTGCATAGAATTATGACAATGAAAAAAACTATTAAACTTAATAGTCATATCTATATAAATACCTCTTTTTGTATGATGGTTACTGGAATCTAGTGGGATTTTTCCTCCAAGTGCTTTATTTATTAATTAATAAAATATATGTATATTTAACAGATGTTTACTACTGAAATATGTGTATTTACTACCCACAAGAAAATAAATATGTTTAGTCATTTTAGTGCATTTGTTTCCATTGCTATCCAAATTTCAGACTGGTTTGAAGAGATTGGGATTTTTTTTCTGCTCAACTGTCTGCAGTTTCTGTAGGTTTCTCTGTAGGTTTCTCTGTAGGTTTTATGGATGTTAAAAAAAAAAAAAAAACAACAAAACAGCAAAGCTTTAAATAAAATGTAGTATTGATGAATCTTGTATTTTTCTGCCTTCTATATTGTATTCTTTGCAGCATAATCATCATTCTGCACACAGTAGATATTAGTAATGTGCTGTCACTAACAGTTGATGAATCTTGTATTTTTCTGCCTTCTATATTGTATTCTTTGCAGCATAATCATTTTGCACACAGTAGATATTAGTCACTACATCAGTAGTCACTAACAGTAGACTACAATGGTTGCCTGGTTTTAGTTTCAGTGGTTATGTTATTTCATTGTGTTCTAGATGTTAGGCTATTTCCCTGAGGGATGAACTCTTATGTGTTATTATCTCTAAGTCATTCTTAATGTTTATATCTAAGATCTCTGGAGAGATATTTTCAGTGTTTTGCCCACATCATCCCATTTTCCTGCAGCAGCTTTTGCAGGCAGTTCTCCTGCTGCATGTCTGGATTTGGGGATTTGGTTGTGTCTTCCTGCAGCCTGTGCATGCTCTCACTGCTGTCCTACCATGCTCCCTCAGCCACCCCTCTGCACTGTAGGCTAGAGCTTGAATCTTTGGAGCAGGATTTCCCTGAAATGAGCTGTGTGCTATAAGCAGGTCCTGAAGTTCAAGACAAAATAAATACAGCCTTGTATATATCTTTTAAAAACCGACACAGCAAAACTATCTGTTCTTTTGTGATTAGTTTGCATATGTGTGCGCACTCCCTTTACACGAAGCACTGCTGTACCATAGAGCCAGTGCCTGCATCTTTGAATGGTTCTTTGCAGTAACTGTTGTCTGAAAGTGCAGATGGCCAGGTGGCATCACCCACCTCTCAATGCCATCTTATCCCACTGGGGCCTCAGTGTTGGACCCCTTCGTCTTTTCACATCTGTCTGTCAGCCTATAAAAGAAGAGGAGCTGTAAAAGTGTGGCTGATTTCCAGCTGCTTCAGGTGTGGTACCTGCCAGCTCTCCCCTCTCACTGCCGGCCATACAAAAGGCCACAGTGCCAGAGACAGGGCTCTGGGGGCCAAGATCTGTCCCTCCTGCCATTTGGTAGTGCCTTATTTTTGGACACTTGTGCCAGGTGTCTGCAAATGTTGCTTGCTGTTCACATCTCTTCCAAATTACGCAAAAAAGCAGACAGAAAATTAAATTTCACTTTGTGAAAGTGCAGGTGTGAGCCTCTCCTGGCCTAGTGAGACTTCATGGCCAAACTCACTTTCTGTTGTCTCACCCTAGCAATACCCATTCTTCCTTTCTGCCCTCTAGCATCAATGCCTCAGCTTGAGTTTCCAGATGTAGAACCACAGAGAGACCTTCATTGCCCCTTTCCCTCTCCACCCCTATTCAGCCAAGAACAAATGGGGAAGGATCTGCATCTTCCTACCAAAGCCGGGATTCTCTTTCTAAGTATGAGCAAAGGTGACCAGGCTTCCTCAGCTGTCTCTTTTGAAAAGTGACATGCTGTTCAAATAAATGCAGATCAAATGGCCTGCCAAGCACAAGCAGGGATGTAGACCCCTGAATCAGTCAGAAGATTGATTTTAATTCAACCTGGAGAAAGGCACCCCTCTGAATAGGTTGAAGCATCAATACTTCAACATCTTTGCATGGATTTTTCTTACCTGCTTGACTGTTTCCGTTGGTTGGGATCAGCTTCTCCATCTGAGATCCTTCCTTACAGAAAGTTAATTCTCTCTAGAGGAGCCTCTGAAAGCCACAGGTGGGAAGTTGGAACTTCTGCTGCCTGCAGCTACTCTGAGTTGAAGCATCTGCTGCAAAAAATCTAGTGTTTTCTACAGAGCCGGGCTGACCTTCCGCTCTCTCTGAGGCCTGTACAAGTGTGCAGTAGGCACGTTGATCCTTGTTGATCCAGGAAGGGTGTCTGAGCCTTGCAGGGCAGCAGGTTCCAGCATGCTGTCCTGGAGCAGTACAGGCACTTCTGCCCTCAGTTCCTTCCAGCAGCTAAATCAGCAGGAGGATTAAATCTGCTCCCCCACAAAATGGAACTGCCTGGCTTGTGTGTAAGCCCACAGCACAGGGAAAGCCAGAGAAGGATATGTGGTGCTCCTTCTTTTGTCACTAACCCACCTTTTGTGGGGTTAGATTCCTTTGTCTTCAGGAGCTCTGGCAACATTTGTGCCGTTTTAAGAGTTCCAGCTGAAGGGGTGGGGTTTGTAGTTGGAGTCGTAGAACAGTTTGGGTTGGAAGGGACTTTAAAGATCATCGAGTACCAGCCCTCATACCACAGGCAGGGACATCTTCCACTAGACCAAGCTGCTCAAAGCTCCATTCAACCTGTCCCCTTGAACACTTCCAGGGATGGGGCATCCACAGCTTCTCTGGGAAACATATTCCAGTGACTGCCTCTCTACAAATGGAGGTGCTGTCTGATAATCATTTTGGCTCTTCTGAGTCACGATGATGAGATCAGCTGTCTCTTGCTGATGATTTCACCAGTTCAGTTCCCCCAGCTGTCCCTGACTGCTCCAACAGAGCAGATTTCATTTGTCAGTACTTTTTAGTCAGGTGACTGCTTGTCAGTGCTTTTTAGACTATTAGTCACCTGGTACAGAAAAGAGGAAAAATCATTACTTATGCTATGGTAATGGTGGCTCTTCTGGTACATGGGCAGTAGAAGCACCAAAAGTCACCTGTTTCCTTTACTCTGAATGGGTCTTTACTGTTGGCAAACCTGACTTGGGGGTTGGACTGGGGCATCCTGAGATTAGTTTGCTCCATTACCACCCTGAGCAGCAGCAACTCCTTGCTTCCTTGGGTTGCATTTGTTCATCCTCTTTTCTTCCTCAACTAGGTTGCCAGTCGGTGTTTCAGCTTTCCAAACCTCACACAATTCCAGCTAGGATATCACTCTATCAACTCTTGCCCATGTCCATGTATTGCTCTTCTATGCCCCTGCTCCCTTTCATCAACCACAGCAAACCTTGCCAGCTCAAGTCACATCAACACCTAAACCCCTGAGGTGGGAGCACAGGTTTGGGAGCAGCAGGGGAGAGGGAGGTTGCCAAAGCAGCGCGTTGGCGGCAGTGGTGCGGGCGATGGGGTTTGTGCCACAGCTGAGTGAAGAGCAGAGGTGGGAGCTGCCACTGCTGCTGGCCGTGCTAGGTGGGGCAGTGGTGGCAGAGCGTGGCACTGCTGGGGAGCCCTTTGCCTTGTGCAGAGCTGAGGTGGTTCACAGGCACGGCCTGGATGGACATAACTGACTTCAGAGGACTTGGTCCTGTCCGTGTGAGTACGTGCTCACCTGGGATCTGTGCGGACAGCACTTCTTAAAGAATCACAGTTTCCGTAGGGTAAGTAACCGCTTTCCATTTTGTTTCCTTAAAGAAATATTTGAAACCCACGATGACTCTAATGCTATTATCTCCTTACTGAGTTCTACCATTATTATGATTCTGATACTTCTAGGACCCTTCCTTTGGTTTAAAGCTGATTGATTTCAGGAATTGAAGCTAGATCTGCTGTTTTATATAAAAGGCAAAATGACAAATACTGTGTTCTCATTATTGCACTTTTATTCTGAAAGAAAATAACCATGAAACTGTTGTTTTCCTTTACTGTGCTTGAACTCTTTTAAGTATGAAATGCAAGTTAGGAGGAGGATTATTGGTTATACTTCTGTATTGTCTTCATTATCATTTTAGTTAAGATATCAAATGTTATAAAATATTTTCAAATGTAACTATTTTATCAGATTTTTGAATAGAAACTGTGAATTTGGGAAAAAAAAGTGATACTCTTTTTAATAATAAAAAGGAATAGATTATTTTATATTTTATATTACTTATATTCCACATTAGGGTTTTGGGGCACATTTTTTTAGGTGAAATTGAAATAGTATCTAACCTAGAATTATCAGGGTGTTTGGAGACTTAGCAAAATTAGTGCTTCACAAATTATGGAAGATCTGTTAAATTCTAAGAATTCTCACAAATTAGAGAAGTTGTGTTTTGCTATACCCAATTGGGCTTTGGGCACATGCATGTGACAGTGCATTTTGCAGTGTGATGCTTCTCTGCTTCATGTGGAGAATACTTTGAACTTTGTTATTCATTAAAACTTCTTCCTACCTCATCTAGGTGAAAAGCTTAGTAACACTATGACTATAAGCAGTTACAAGGAGAATGGTACATCTTTGTCCAGTATTATGCCTCAGACATTTTCTAACACCAAAAGTTTTTGACAAAGGTGGTCTAGAAATCAGCATTATCGTGGACAACTTTTGTCTTCTGCTCATAAGGAAAAGTCTTTTATCCAATAGCATGCTTATTGTTGCAAAGGATAGGAATTTTTTTCACTTAATCCTGTCAAATGGAGTAAATGTTTTCATTATTCATATAAACATAGCCCCTTTTGTGTGTGCATTGTTGAGCTCTTTACATAATAAAGGCCCTGTAGAAATTGAGATCCCACTAATTGTAGGTGTAGCATTGCCCTCACCTGGATCCACTGCATTGTGATTTTGCTGTGTTTGTAAGGTAATGAATGAATGAGAGTACCTGACTGTCCTCCTTCATTCTCCTCAGCATTTTAGCTACATCGTGTGTTTTTCTTGTTTATTTACTTATTCAAGCTGCTTCATTTTCCCCTGATTCCATAGTCCTTCCATGTCTCTAGTGGCCTGTCCCTGAGGTCATCTGCTTTTTGCTAGAGTGACTTTAGATGTGTGGTGAACATTGAGGACTATAAACATTTGAGAGGAAATGTTAAATGCCACTGAGAGGACTTGATAATATTTTAACAGGATTTGTTGGGGTCTTTTTTCCAAACAGGAAATAGTCTGAAAGTGTGAACAGTGAAGGAGCTAAGTCCATGTGGACTTAGTCCATTACATCTATGTGTCTGTCTTAAATATTGTCTACCTAACAGTAGTATAGTACATTAGTAGAAACGCTTAACCATAGTAGTACCTCAGTAGAAACATCTAGGGAATGAAACTCTTCCTTTGTGATAGTGGAAGATGTTGAGATGGGCATTGCAGGGGAATGGATTTATAAGGGTCTTGCTGGGAGAGGAGGTAAGGAGTCATCATCATTTTCTCCCTTAAACAAGATGATTTGGGAAACCTAAAAAGTGGAGGTGAGGGTTGTGCTCATTAGTTGAAAACAAAACTTTTCATTTGAGTACTGGAGCTGTTTCTGTCTCCTGCCTGTATGTACAAAGCCCCACATAAATGTTCCTCAGCCATCAGAGAGCTTCAGCTGGTTGTTCTGAAGTGCTTCTGACATTAATGGGTGTTTAGGGACACCTGTTTGCTCACATTCACACTCACCAACAGAGGATGCTGGGGCTGTGCAGAGCTGAACTCGGTATCAAAAGGAAGAATGATTTCTGGAATGAATGGGAAGCCAGAAGGGAAAATGTTGTTTGGTGGGGGAGACATTACATTACTACAGGGCTCCTGCCAAGCAGCTTCAGCCTGCTGTGGGGTATGTACAGGGCTTTGCCTTTACACATCTGGAAGAATTGGACAGGATAAACCTCCCCATTACAATGAGGCGCTGAACATGTTTTCTGTGTATACCTGTGTCATCCAGGAGGCCTTCTAGCAAGACAAGGAAGACCTGCTACAAATTTGCAAAAGGATGATGGCAGAGGAAAGGGAGATACAAGGGAAATTCCAAAAAGGCCCTCTCAGTTTGCTCAGGCATACCTAGACTTGCCCTCCTTTGAGATTTACCTGTAGCATGTTCATCATTAAGAGGTTTTATTATTTTTTTTAAATTAATTTTATTTTCCTTTGCAGGTCACCTTTTAAGCTGCTATTTCCTGTATAATTAAGCAGAATGAAGGCATTAGGTTCTAGTAAAGTTGGGCCTAATCCAGAATCTTCTCTTATTCAGTCCTTTCTGAGTAAGAAACTCAAGTCTGGGCCCAGCATTTCACATGTTTTGCTGTTACGTCTAAATTATTTGTGGTCTGTGGATTTTTATTTTTTTTTAACTATATGAAAACTCCTTTGCTTTTGTCTAATTTTATCTCTTTATGTGTCACTGTCCAGCATAGCATTAGTTGAAATTATGTAAGTATACTGCAAATTGAAGTGCGTAATTGCTACTGATAATGCAATAATGATTCCTCCAGTTTATAATTAACAGTATATAATGTTCTGTGCATGGGTTGGATCTGTCCCTTTTAACTTTTCCTTTCTGATTCTTTCCAATCCCTGGTCTTGCCGCATCACAGCCTTTATGAATGCGCTGGTTTCGCTGGAGTCTAGTCCATTGTTCCTTTTGTTTTTCAGACCAGTAAAAATGGGAAGTACTGGATTCTGGTTTCCTCCAAGAAGAGTCAGCGGAACTGGTTAAGACCAAAATCTGAGGACTTTAGTGGGCAAACATCAGGTGTGCATTGAACAGAGGCTGCTTTAATCCTCTTTAAGTATATGCTTCTTTAAAAATAATGTTATATATAAGCTTTTCTGTAATGTGTTTGTTATATTTGATACTGCATATAATCATTCATCCTGCAGTTGTGAAAGCACCAGTAAGAATATGGATTTTAAGTGATAATATGTTGAGACACAAGCAGGCAATATTACTCATAAAATTCTTTCAGCTGGTCTTTGGAAAATTTAATATTTGAGGATCAGTGTTTTTTTTAAAGTTTTATCTCCATTGCTCAGTCTATATATCCACACCCAAAAAAAGGAAAAAAAAGTGGTTATTTGCTATTCAGAGATCAATACTGACATTCTTAATTGCCTCACCTATTGAGAAGTGATTCTGAGATAATAGTGCATACGTGTTTTTTAATAAAACTCTGTCATTGTCAAAGATTGGATCCACACTATATTTGTTCTAGTGGTGCATTTTTAAGGACACTTAAACACAGTTCAAAGTCAGCTTAATTAGTTTTGATTGTAGAGGAACAAAACCCAATTTTTTTTGTCCCTGTGAATGTTCTGACTGGTACAGCAGCTAGGTTACCTGAAATTTTGGAGAAGACAACAGTAGTCTTATATTGGCCTGAATATAGGATGGTCTTCAGCCTGAGGTATGATCTTTGCATTGAGAAAAGGAGTGAGAAGTTGTCAGATGTTAAGTTGTTAATCTTAATATGCTGTTTCATAACAAAGGCTACTATCATATCAGATTCACCCTTCTGCATGACCTCCTATCCTGCATCTCCCCAGCTTGATGCATATTCAGTTCCTTTCCACCTACTCCAGTGTTACCAGCTTACCCCTATCCTCATGTCCTTAGATATTCCCAATGCCTGTGCAGCAGTACCTGAGCCTCCCTAGCCCTACATCCCCATCCTGGTTCTGTCCACTCTCCCTCCCTGTGGTGGCTGATCCTCCTTCCCTGTATCCTTCCTGCTATTCCTGCTTCTTTTGTCACTGTCTGGGCACAGACTCCACTTGCTGCTGAGCTGAAGTAGCACGACTCTCATGCAGCAGACTGTGGAGGCTGGTCCCTTGCCTTTTCTGCTAATCCTGCCTTCCCTGTCTCAGGCTAGGTATGGATTTGGCTGGGGGGCCAGAGGGGCTGGATCCCTTGTACCCCGTTGGGGCTGTAAGTGTGCCCTGGCCATGCAGTGAGGGCTGTGACTGCTGTGCTCTCAGCTCTGTGTGGTGGGTCTCATGCAGGTGCCTGTGTGGTGTAAAAGTACCCTGTGCAAGTGTAGGTCAGGTTGGATTTTACTTCTCCCCCCTGAACTTCATTTGTCAGGAGAGATTAGACTAAAACAAAATTTCGTTCTACATTCAGGCCAATACTGAAGACCAGTGTGTTCATTAACAGAAGAACAAAATTAATTTTATTATCAGATTCTAATTAAAGCATATATTAAAAAAATACCTTTCAATCCACAGATATATTGCAACTTTGATGTGATTCAGATTCTCCTTTTGATTACATTGGTGGCTTCATTGAAGTCTTTGGAACTGGTCTTCATTTACTTTTATTGAAAAAAATTATTGCTCTTATGTCTCCAAACAACTGTTCCTTATGAACTAGAATTAGTGAACTAGATTGTTGATTATGAGACAGAAAATAAGATTAAGCTGATACTTTGAAGACCTGTGCGTTTTCTCACTCATGGAACTGATGTCTCCAGGCTTCATCCCATGAGTAGGAGTGAGTTTAAGACAAATCTGAAATCAAGAGAGTCCTTAAAGAAATGCTTTTTCTTTCACTAGGTATTTTTAAAAGAAGTTAAGGGAATAAGGTGGTCTTGCAAAACTGCTAGGTTAAAGTAGGTAGCATAGTTTAACCTGTCATTCAAGGACTTCAGGGTTGAAAGGAAGCAGATTTCCATCTTGGTGTACCAGTACTTCTCTCCTCCTCTAAATATAAGAGAAAATGGGGATGAGGGAGGGAGAAGGCTTAGACAAAGACATGCTCTGTATACACATTTCAAATGGAGTTTCGAGTCTGAGGATTTCTTATAACGCAGACATTAAAGAGGCACTTTCCCTTCCTCTCCCTGCTTCTCCTGTCCTGCCATGCATTGAAGAAAACACACTTCCTACATGCTTTCTTCCAGGACCATGCTGGGGCACTTGCAAGGACCGTGTAGTTTTCCCCCTGGCACACCTGGGCGCTGCTCTCCACTCCTCTCTGAAGCAGTTGCCTGCCTCCATCTCTGCTGAGCCTCAGCAGAGGTGAGAGGACAGGTAAGGCCGGGGCTGCCTCCAGGCTCCCCAGCCTCCCTCAATGCCAGCAGGGAAGAGCCCGGTTTGTTTTCCAGGGAGACGGCGTTGGGCTGGAGCAGCTGCAGCCCGGTGGTGCCTGCCCGGCTCCAGCTGCCCAGCTCCACCTGTCCCAGCAGCTGTGGCTTCCCCGGCCCTGCTGCCAGGGCTGTGGCGCTGCCCGGACGCCGAGCCCTGGCCCGGCCGCTGCCCAGCCTCGGTGCCGCCCGGCCCGGCCGCCTCTTGCGCAGCTGCCCCGGCAGAGACCGGAGGGGACAGCAGCTGCAAGCCGTGACACCGGGGCTGGGGGTGGGTGGTGGCACTTTCAAGGGAGAAAGGCTAAATTTTGGGGCTTTCCAGCCCTCAAAAATGCTTGCACTGAGTGCTCTCCTGCTGTCCTCCTTGTCTCTGCTGCTGCGGACCTCACGCTCCACCCTTCCCTTTCTGGCTAGCGCAGGATTTTGGTATCTATAGTAGCAGTTGTGCTCCAAGGATGAAGCGAAGCTGTCAGCAACCCCTGACAAAAGAGGGCTGTTGAGTGCCCTGTGGTGGCAGGTGCCCAGTTGCCACTATATGATACCAGATGACAAATCGAAAACTTCTCACCCGCGAGTCAGACACAAGGATCACATCACACACTTCCTGACAGTGAAAGCCTCCGGTTTAGTTGACATTTTGCTATGCCACAGGGGCAGGACTTGGAGCCTCCATCCTGAACTAGCCTGAGTCTGAGTGCTTACAGCCTTTGTGTCTCACAGGGTAGTGTGAGGAGTCTGGGGGTCTCTAGCAGTGGGCTGATAAAACCCTGATCTATCTAATCTAACCCTAATCCATGGGACTTCTGCCATTCACAGATCAAGTCTCTGTTAGCAGAGGGTGAGTTTACAGGAGAATTTCACCTGGTGTTAGGCATCATTGGCAGTGCATACTTTTTCCCAGAGTAGATGCATAGATGTGCAGTAATCACAGGGAGGGAGGTATATCCAAAAGGGAACATGAGCTTTGCCCTCCATAGTGTCTGCATGGGTACTGCTGTGTTTTGTGCAGGTTTTCAAACATTTTGAGGCTGACAGGCTTTGATAGTTGTGTGGGGCGGGGCGGGGGGATGTCTGTGCAAACACCACAGGCGCGGCTGCGATTCCTTTGAAATCGGAAGCTGCCAAAAGGTGCCTGGGTAGGTAGGCCTTTGCCTGATGCCTCCCTTAATCTGACAGAAACTCTGCTGTTCTCCATCAGTGCTTGAGGGGAAAGTTGTGACGTGTGATTTCAGGGCATATGTGGATCTGTTCATCCTGAGCAATGCATTTTAAGAGTTGCAGCAAATAGTATAAAGAAACCTGTAGGTATTACGTTAGACCAGCTGAACATAACTTTATTTTTAAGTTTTATTCAGAAGCATCACATAGCAAGTAAACTTCAAAATCTAAGTTTAGTTACAAACTAGTTGTTTCTTATTTTTTTTTTCCAGTCCCCTTTTGCTTTCTTTTACGACCACATGAAACTTGAGAAGCCATCTAAAGCTAAATCATTTAGTGGAGTTGGGCAATTCCCAAGTGTCCAACAAGAAGGCCTGGTTTAGGCTGCGATGGCCACTGTCATTCCTGGTGATTTGTCAGAAGTAAGAGATACCCAGAAAGTCCCTTCAGGGAAACGTAAGCGTGGTGAAACCAAACCAAGAAAAAACTTTCCTTGCCAACTGTGTGACAAGGCCTTTAACAGTGTTGAGAAATTAAAGGTTCACTCATACTCTCACACAGGAGAGAGGCCCTACAAGTGCACACAACAAGACTGCACCAAGGCCTTTGTTTCTAAGTACAAATTACTAAGGTATTAAACTCTATTTATCTTTCAGATTATATTATCTATTTTATGTTGGCCGTGTTAAGCCGTGTAAAAGTATATATTTCTGTACGCCTTCAGCTGATTGCAGAGAGGATGTGATAATTAAAGTAGCTATTGGATTGTTTCTAGAATTCTAAATTACCTAAGTTTGCAAGCTAATGTCTTTGATTTTGTTTCTTAATTTGTTTTCTGCTTTTGTTTTCTGTTTGTTTGTTTTTGTTTTTGTTTGTTTTGTTTTTAATGAGCGTAGAATTTTCATTTGTATAAGGAGTTGTCACAAGAAAAAGAGTATGGACTGAAAGTTCTTTGGCTATGGACTTTTACATGAGTACTTTCATACTTGCCCATATACCCCTGTTACCGTAGCTAAGACCTACCAAAACTAAAGTGTCGATTTAAGAGAAATGGCTCACGTTTTGCAATATTTAAATTTGTCAAACTGTCTTTGTAGTGTCATGCTTTCAGTTAAAAGGTTCTGTTGCAAAGCAGCCCTTAGTGTAGTATTTAGCTGCCATTAAAAAATGAGCACGTGTGTTTTTTGATCAAAATAATTACTTACAGAATATATCTGTGTTTAAAGGCATATGGCTACTCATTCTCCTGAGAAAACCCACAAGTGTAATTATTGTGAGAAAATGTTTCACCGAAAAGATCACCTAAAGAATCACCTACATACACACAATCCCAACAAAGAGGCCTTTAAGTGTGAAGAATGTGGAAAGAACTACAATACCAAGCTTGGGTTCAAACGTCACCTGGCTTTGCATGCTGCAACAAGTGGTGACCTCACCTGTAAGGTATGTTTGCAGACTTTTGAAAGCACAGGAGTGCTGCTGGAGCACCTAAAAACTCATGCAGGCAAGTCATCGGGTGGAGTGAAGGAGAAAAAGCACCAGTGTGAACACTGTGATCGTCGGTTCTACACCCGAAAGGATGTCCGCAGACACATGGTAGTGCACACTGGAAGAAAGGACTTCCTCTGTCAGTACTGTGCACAGAGATTTGGGCGGAAGGATCACCTCACACGCCACATGAAGAAAAGTCACAACCAAGAACTTCTGAAGGTCAAAACAGAGCCAATGGACCTTCTAGATCCCTTTACCTGCAATGTTTCTGTGCCTATTAAGGATGAGCTGCTTCCAGTGATGTCTTTACCTTCCAGTGAACTGACATCAAAGCCATTTACAAACACTTTGCAATTAAATCTCTACAACACTCAGATTCAGTCCATGCAGAGTTCTGCATCTGCACACCAAATGGTTGCCACATCGTTACCATTGGGAATGCCTTGTCCAATAGATATGGAGTCTGTCCACCCTTCTCACCAGCTATCGTTGAAATACCCGCTCGGTACTACCTCATACTCAATTTCTATGCCTGAAAAAGAACAGCCATTGAAAGGGGAAATTGAAAGTTACTTAATGGAGTTGCAAAGTGGTATGCCTTCTTCATCCCAGGATTCTCAAGCATCTTCATCAAAACTAGGGCTGGATCCACAAGTAGGGCCACTAGATGATGGGTCTGGGGAAGTTTCCCTTTCCAAGGGCTCCGTTCCTATTAGTGAACCTCTAAATGCCCCATCATTGGACTTTTCTCAGCTGTTCAACTTCATACCTGTAAATGGCCCTCCCTATAATCCTTCTGTTTCAGTGGGAAACCTTGGGATGAGTTATACGCAAGAGGAGGCACATTCTTCTATGACTCAACTCCCACCACAAACCCAGGATCCACAAGATCCCAGCAATAGTATAGGTCTTGGGTCTCTGCACTCATTGTCAGCAGCTTTCACAAGCAGTCTAAGCACAACCACCACCCTACCACGATTTCATCAAGCTTTCCAATAGGATGTACAAAGCTGGCTTGTTAACTGTCTATTTGTAGAAATGCCTTAGGTGACCATTTTTAACTTAGTGCCTACTATAAGACATTATAAATTCTCTGCTTTTGTACAGTACCAATCTCATGAAGCCAGTAAGAAATTTAAATTAACTTTTTAAAAATGTTTTGAAAGTGTTTATTCTCAGCTGTGTTTACTTTGGTTTGTTGGTTTTTTTTAACAGTCTCATTGTATTGTTTTCATTTTCACTGCCAATTTACACATTCAAAATGTTCAGTAGAAAGTCATCCCAAGCAAACTCACAACACTCATCCCGTTTCTAAAACTTTTTCAACCATACCAGCTATTCTGTTTTATTGATGTCAGTGGTAGAACTGCCACTTTTACCTTTTAATATATTCTTCTATTTGCAAATAATCCATTTAAAATATGTATCACGAGGATTCCTGAGATTTGGGAAAAAAATTCTCCAGTCTGTTTCCAAACGAATCCTCTTCCCAAATGGTGACACATCTGACCTGTTCTATAATGACAAATCTAAATTTTTTAAATGAATATAGAATTCAGATTTTTCTGAAAACTTGTGTGTGTATATATAGAAGTCCATATATACACATGTGCATATATATAGCATTTTGACTTGTATTGAAGTCATTATAAAAGTTGTTAAGAATTTTGCCATTTTCTGGCTTAAATTTTGGTGGCCTGTTATGGATAACAGAAGAAAAAAAATTAGTGTAATTCTCTAAAATTAGGGCTGAACAGAATTTCGACAGAGAATCTCTGCTTGCCTAAATGACAGATGTTTCAAGTTGAATTTGAAACTGTTGTGCTTTCGTGACTCTGGTATAGGGAAACAGGCAAAATTAATGGCTGATCTTGAAATATAAAAGTGTTGTAATGTAGTAATGCAGAATATTTTGTTGCAGTTTTTGTTTTAATTCTTAACTTGCTGGTTTTTTTCTCTTTAGTAGCATAGAAAGAGTACTGCATAGGAACCTTCCAGTAGCGTGTTCACGTTTGTAGGCGTCAGTCTTCTCCCCGCTGCCACCGCCAAAGGGTGGATCAAGTCCAGCCAGAAAGTGTGTACCTATTTTCAGTTCAAAACTAGTGTGCAGTCAGAAAGTGAATGTAAATTTGCAACTACCAGTTTGTTTTGTTTTGTTTTTATTGGAGTGATCTTTTCAGTTGTGTTACATGGTGTGTTATGTCCTCCTAAGCAACAAGTTAGATGTTAATTACACTTTCTACACCTGGGTACTTGGTTAGGGACTTTTTGCCCATTGCCAAGATTTAAAGACAGGACTCTTAGGAGTGAAGTAAAAGCATATTGCTTACACCACTTTTACCTAATGCAATATATATTCTATCCCCCAACCCCTAATAACCAAAAGAGGAAAAAAAACCCTAAAAAAACAACCAACCCTGTGATGCGTAAAAGCAAACTAGATTTGCTGTAATTCAACAATAACATTCTTTTCCTTGTCATTTTTGTACAAGGAATTAAAAAACGGAAATCGAGTACATTAGTATCTCTCAAACAATAATGAGAATTCATACAAGGTTTTAAGTGGTTAAACTGAATATACTTCACAGAAACAAAAGTTGCTCCCATTTAAGGAGCTCATGCTCCGGATGTTTTATCAGTAGCTCCTACTGGTTTTTTTAATGCTAGGAGCAATATGCAGGTGTAGTTTTACTATTTTATACATATGTGTATTTAAATTTTATTACTAAAAAATAACATTTTTATAAATGTGTTTATGTTCCAAAGGCATTAAAATAAGGATGTATTAATAAGGAAAATACCTTTTGAAATTCTGCAAACTACTCCTAGATTTTGGTTTTAGGAGCATGTTATCTCAAAGTGGGCGTTTAGCTCTGCTTCACGACTGCTTCCTCTGGTTTCTGTGAAACAGATTGCTCGCTTGCTTACATCTTTAGTTGAATGATTTGTTCAATATTGCTTTTTTTCCATTCACCTTTCTAAAGGAAAGAAAAACACAGATGAACAGAGCACAAGCTGAATGCAACCGAATGTAGCTCTAGTTTACATGAACGACCGTAATGCATCTAAGAAAAACTTGGATTTATTCTCAATCCTTTTAATCTGAGATGCAGATAAATGGACTTAATTCCTCCAGTGGGTTATGCCGAGCATCTGCAACTCTCCCTGCCGCAGAGGAAACTGCAGGTGCTTGGCATCCTGCAGCTGGCCCAGCAGCGTGGCCGGGCAGCGCTGCCCTTCCTGGGCAGCCTGTGGCAGACAAATTTCCAGTCTGGAGCCACTTGTTATCAGCCCCAGCTGCTGAAAGACTTAATAAAAACCAAAACCCACAGACACTTTGCCAACACTTGTTTCTTAGTGCAAAGCCAGAACCCTTACTACCTTGTTTGTGCCTTAGCTTCCTGAAAAGGGATTGACATTTCACTTGGAGTTAGATATACATTTCACTTGAGAAATGGAGACCTCAGACAAGATATTGAACCTCATTCAGTCAGGGTTTCAGTGGGTGACTGCACCCAGAGTGTTTGCAGCTGAACTAGGATGTAGGGTAACATGGAAGCAGACTGACCCTTTAAGCAATACCAACACCACCAGAGTGCTTTTGAGCATCACTTAGGCAGAGTCAATATTGGCCACTACTAAACCATCAGTTTTTAAACCCCGTTTTCTTGATTTCCCATGGATTCTTGGTGGGAGGGGGGAGGGCTGGCTGATCATGCACCACTCTTTGTGCAACTTCTAAACTTCTAGTAAGGTTGTTTTGTTGTTGTTGTTTTTTTTTTTTTTAATATATATATTTTTGTGTACTTGTTGCTTGTGCTTTATTTAGTAGTAAATTGTGGAATAGAGTGATTTATTGTTAATTTGGCAGTAGCGGTTTTTAAAAACCTTATACTGACTGAAACATGAGCCAGAGCTGATTGCTTTATTAAGCTAATAATGAATGTTAAGAGTACATATTTTCAGGATCATTTGCCTAGTGAGCTAAACTTGTATTATAGGCCAATATTTTTTAAAATAAAGCTTGGTCAACCTCTATGTTACACATATTACAAGATATAGCACTTTCAAAAAGAAAACCTAAACCTTTTAAGAAGATTTCTTACAGGTTATGCTTTTTATTATAAAACCTTTTATTATAATTTGTTTCAAGTGCCATTAGATTACATATATGTAGGCCTTTGGTATAATGCTTTGTGTACAAAATGGTAGACATTGTAATTTTAAACAGGTACATTTTTACAGTGTTTTCTTATCAATTTGCTATATTGCACAGAACCAGTGTGTCTTTCTTAAGGGTTTTACAATGGTTTTTACTAGGTTTACATGTTTCAAACTACACTGTCTTCTACTGCCATTTTGAATACCAGTCAAAAACAATTAGGAGTTTGTCCTCACCATTTGCAAACTGTCTTCTGGAGTTCTCGACGGTAAACTTTGTCAAAAATATTTAACATGCAGTATTTGATGCAGTTTTTTTTATCACATCCTATCATCGCTATGCTGCTGTCTGAAGTTAACTTTGGGCCTGATCCTGCATCCGTAAATGCTATGGGGATCCTGCATCCTTTGTTATGTCTGTCTCATACACTGGTTTAGCAGCTTCTCCTGTATTCTTCTCAGTCTATAGATAAGCCTCTGAAATATATGTACTTATCTGGTATGTAGTAAACCATTATAGGCTTAGCTGCCCGTCCTGCTTCCCCCCAGTGTACGTTTTAAACCACAGCTTACTTAGCATCATGCTCAACTTACAAGTAATGCCACAGTAGTTCAAAATGTGTTTGGGTAGTCCCAAAGCTTTTATGCAATAAGGGTGTCTTACTTTTGTTGGAAGGCAGTGTCTTTTGATAACAGTTATCTAGCCCTGGAAGTGACACAGAACTATTGCTAATCATATGTAAACACTTTTCAGTATAAGCTTCAGTGGTACAGTTGAACCAGAGTGAATGTTTATCTCCTCAGAAACACTCCTGCAATATTGTTATATTGGATCATGCTGCTAATGTAACTTGGGATACAACTCCTCTCATGGTGCTACAAACCTCCCTGTCTCATTCAGATGTATTTTTACCCATAGAAAAAAAAGGACTATACTAGACCTATAGTGGTATGATATATTTTTATACTGTGACGTAATTTGTCATTAATGAACTTTTGTGCAACACCACAATGTATTCATATGCACTTGCAAAAGTAAAATTTTGGACATGCAAATTTAAACGCTGACAAGCCCAGCTCTTGTTCACAAAAATAGGTGACTGCTAGTTAATGTTAAATGTGGGCTTTTTATATGGTGTGGAGTGAAGAACATACTATATGTTACTAAAAGCCTCAGACAAAAACTGGGAAGAGTATATTGGTGAATGATGTCACATCCAAACCTGACTCAGATTGCTGAAATTATATTTTTAGCTAGTGGAAAAATTGTTTGGACTTGTATGCTAAAATGTTTTTAATGATAAAAGTTTTGAGTCAAAAAAAAAATAGAGGAAAAAAAAAAAAGAACACAGAAAACCCTGCATTCCAGACTGAATTTGTATATGTTTCTTGCATTTAAAATTTGCTATCCTGTGATATGGGAAATTGAGTTGCTTATCATGTATATGTACTTTAAAGTGTATTCACAAACTACTGTTGTATTTGTATAAAATATAGACAAAAAGATTGCATATATATTTTTGTGTATAAGCTCTGTAAAATAGCAATCACGTTATGAAGCTGCAGCAGAACTTCATTTTAAACATTCACATCCAAAGAAACAGACTATTTATTGTCCACATACCCTGATTATAAAATATACCTTGCTGCTATTAAACAATAGTGCTGCAGCTTCTTGTGGCCTACAGTGTTATGTTTGCTGTACAAAAATATGTGAACTCCACAAAATATATCAATAAAATTACAGAATGGTTTTAGTTAATGAATAACTTATGCCTGGCATTTCAATAGATAATCTTGATCTGCGTGTTTGGGATTGCAAGAAGTAATTACAGAGTCCATCCAGTTTTGCTGGGAGTAGTTTGCAAAGGCATAACTGTCTTTATAATTTATGGCTGGTAAAATGTCAGCTTTTCAGAAAATCTTAAGGCATAAATATCTGCGTTTCATGATTTCACCAAGGAACAAATGGGATGATGCTACTGTGTCTGTGACAAGACAGATCTGAACTGAAGGAAGCAGTTGAGTTTGCCATCAAATTGCACTTTGAAACACTGTGAGACACTGCAAGGTAAGTATAGGGTATCCATAGTGGGACCATTCCTTTGGGACACATAGGTGATTCCCCATCATTGCAGATCAGTGCAAGTATCATACATCGTTTGTTGTAGTTGTTGTAGGACAGACTTTAAGGGCAAGCCATGTGCTAGACACAGTATGTGGGATGTCTCTCTGCAGTATTTCCAGGAGAAACTCAGTTGCTTTGATCCCATAGATGTCTGGCTGGCTGTGGCACTGACATCTGCAGAAGCCAGGCTAATGCTTGGGGAAGAGGTGCCTCGCAGCCAGACAAGCAGCCTGCACACAACTGCAGAAAGTTACCTCTGCTCATTCCACGCAGGTGTTCCCTAGCATAGACTGTTTGCCAGGAAAGTTAAAAGACTAGCATTTCACATTTAATTGCTTTTCAGAACATACTTTGTTAACATCTTTAGCATTGTCTGGATTTCCCTGCTTTCGAGTTCCTCTCTTTTCCAGTTCCTCTCTTTTCCAAATCTTGGCTTTTTAGGTTCCTTGCTGTAATGCAGTTGGAGAGAAATGATTGTTAGAGTTGGTGGCTTTCGCCTTCTCCACATGCAGGCACCTTCCCTTTCTTGTGATCCCTTCCCCACTCCTCTGAGCAGACTTACCGCTTCTGTGCCGCAGGTTTCTAACTTGATTGAGAGCGTTGACCTTGTTATTTTGAGAGTCAAAAGCTCAACACATGCTGTATGATATGAAATACTCTGCAGAACAATTTATAACCACCCACAGACTCATACCCCCCACACCCCTCGAGAGAAAACCCCATTCACTGTGTTGCTGTCCTAGCTGGTCTCGCCCACTGTAACTGATTTAACATGCCCTCCTTCCAAGCAGATAGCCCCTAGAAATTCCATCAGCCTTTGCAATAATTGGAATGGGATTGCACAGATTACATCTGTGTGTTTTAGAGAGATCTCTTGATGCAGTCCCTCAAGAATTTCCTTCTTAAATTCAGAGCCACAGACATTTTCTCTTCTGTCTCTCCTGTAACCATCTCTTTCCAAAACTTGCATAAGAAAGTACAGAAAAATGGTTCTGTAGTACCCTCTATAGCTGGTCTCGCTGTCCTCCAGGAGTGGAAGAGGAAGGCTCTTCTGCTTTTCCCCTTCACTTTCCCTCATTCTTTACACCTTCTTTTCCTTTCCACATACAAGCATGTCCTAGGATGAAAACTGGTTTTTGACAGAGAAATCCAGAACTGATGCAGAGCTACTGCTGGATGAGCAAGAACTGAGCAGCTACATGCTGTTGGTTTCCCTGCTTTGCAAATCAAAACATTCTATAAAATCGAATAGAAATTAAGTTTTCTGAAGTGGCAGCTGCTGTCGTTGGCACAGCAAGGATTGGCGATCACAAACAGGCAGCAAGTGGGACAGCAAGATAAACTCTGTTACAAAATTTAGTCTGTACTTAATAGTTCGAGAAGTATTTTGGAAGATTAACTGGTGCTTATCAGTGTAAGCTGGGGCCTTTAGCAAATAAACAGCAACACTGTATTTCTGTTTTGAACAACACCAGAGATAATGGTGTTGAAAATGACAGACCCCAGCAGTGGTGTGAAGTTTCAACTTCCTGCTCGTACTATATCCCAGGTAATTCAGTATAAACTTTTTCTACTCTTAATAAAGATGTAACAGTTTGCCTGCTGTAATGAACAATTCTGTTCTTCATTGTCATTGTCATCACTCAGTCTTTTCTCATTTAGGGATATTTGTATCACAAGATCATCAGCTACAAAGCTAGTTTGCCTCAGAGGGGACTGAAGAGACATCAGCTGCCAGTTGAGCTCTCTGAAAGCAGGCCTATGGTAATGCCTGCTGTGGCTGAGCTGGAAATAATTTTAATTGATCCCTTGATATTTTATCCATGGGGCTGATTCTCACTGTTGCACTGAACTACCAAGTACAAAGAAGAATGGTTTAGTGTCACTTTCACATGTCAGATCTCTGATGTGTGTTAAATAGTGCAGAAAACCTGAGGAGTCAGAGTTCCTAAAAATCCGTACATTGCTTAAACTCTGGTGAATGTTTTGTGTGCACATGTATGTATGCACGGGAAAGTAATCCAAGCTTGAAAACTTGTTAAATTGGTTTTAGTTTTTTTTTTTTTTTCATTTTGGTTTCCTCCAAAATGCTTAAGTCTAAAGTGTTTGCGTTTTACAAATCCAAAGTGAATCATATTGTTTATTAAGGTATCCCCAAGTTAACACAGTGCATGGTTTCCCAGGCAAGCTGGCAGAGCTTCTTCCAACTACTTGATTAATCTATGAGAGACAGCAGTTTATCTAAAGGGTGCACAGACTCCAGTGAGGAAGGTGTTTGTCAGCTCTCCTTGTGTAGTCCTAGATACAATTTCAGCAGAAAAGCTCTGTAGGTTGTGCCTCTGAAAATAGGCTCAACTCTGGCTTAGTATGGCTTTTGTGTTAAATTGTTACACTCATGGTCATGGATAAATCCTTAAACTTCCTTCACAAGTACTTACCTTGAAAATTAAAATAAAATACGGGCTTTGTATGGTTTAGGAGCTTACCATAAGTCAGCAACATCTGAGCTGTAACATAAGACTATCAAATAACAAACATTCATGACAAATAAACACAGACTAAAGTTCCAAACTTTCTGAAGTCTCACCTGAAAGTTGTCTCCTTTTATTTTGTCAGTGTTTGACTCCTTACACCAGTGAAGTATTACAGGGTTGCCCCATAGTTTATATGCTCTGTTCAGCTTGGGCTGAATTCAGCAGTTCTTTTTACAAGAAGCTTCTGCTTACTCATTGAAAGCCTTGCAATAATGTATTTGGATGGTATGATCCATTTTAATGTTGGGCTTAAAACCTTTTGACTTAAGGCAATCTCTGAGAATTTGCTGTGCCCCACCAGACTACCCAGGCCACCACTTCAGAGCCACCAAATTTAGCTGATTCTCTTGCCTCTTCCCCTCTACAACTCTCCAAAGAGGTGATGTTTGCAGGAAGCCACCCCATTTGTTATGGCAGTGTATTTAATATACATCACAGAGCTGGGTGTGATCTGTGTTAATGGGATTGTGCAAGCTGCTGGGAGAGACTCGTCCCTTTAGGCATCAGCATTAAATCCATGTACCTGGCAAAGCAGCAGCCTCCCAGTGCTCGACTTAGCACTAACATTACCCCCCTGGGTCCTTTGCTGTACATGATTAATTTTGCTCATTAAGCATTGAAGCTATTTCCTAGTCCTTAAGCTACAAGTCTTAAACTCCACCACTATATTTGGCATCTCCCTGTGACCCAGCAAAGTCAGCTTTGCTCCACGGGCAAGACTGCAAAACCAGTCTTGGAAAATTTGGCTGAAAATACTGCACAAGGTGCCTGCCACATGACAGCAGTCAACCTGCCAGGATAGGTACCGGTCTTTGCATGGCCAGAAAATACTGCTGTGGGTGAGAGCCTGCAGTTTACATTTCATTGTCCTTATCACTAAGTTTGGATTCTTTTATCTTGTCATAAGGTGCTCATTTGAAATTGTAGTATTAATCTACAGCAGCAGGTCTCAGGCTGTTATCCCTGGTCCACCTTGGTCACTGAGCCCCCTGTAAATTAGCTGTGAAACCTCACCTGCCTTTCCAGTGGCTCCAGTTAAAACCCCTGTGTGTTCAGGTAAGAAGAACCTTTGCTTCATGCTCTTGAACACATGGAGTAACCTTAGTGTGAAGGAAAAAAAGCATCAAACAGCTGTTTGGCAGTGTGTGTTTGAAACTTGATCTTATTATTTATAAACTAGGGTTTAACCTTTTAAAATGTTTATTATTATTATGTCTCAGCAGTAAAACAGCATCACAGTTCTTGCAGATGTATTTTTTTTTTTTCTTGCATTTGGGTTTACCTTTCACTGCTTTAATGAAAACTTGCTTGTATTTGCAGTTCCAAGGTGTCATTTGTCTCACCAAAACAGCCAAACTCTGAAACATGAACTGGATTCTTTTCTGGCTTGTTCTTGTAGGGGGGGGGCAGGGGGGGAAAGAACCAAAGTTGTTAATCAGTGGCCTATCTTCAGAGCAAGCCTGTGTAGGGACTGGCTCCAGACAATGCTATCACTTACACCTGTGTAATTGATCATATCAGAATTCCTTTCAGGCAACTCTGAATATCATTTGAGGTCTGTGAGGTGTGGCCGGAAGCAACACTTGGACTATGAAACTGTGCATGAGGAGAATGTAGGTTCATCATCAAATCCTAAACTGAGAACAGACAGACTAACAGTAGAATAAGAAAAAAGAAAACTCTTGGTTTCAAACGGAGAAGAAAACCTCCCAGAAGACATTAAGCCACAGGCTATGGAACTGTCTTGCTTTGAGTAGGACTGTAATTTAAGTACTGAAGAGCTCCACTTGGCTCCTTTAGCAAGGTTACAAAGTAACCTATTAGAAACACAATGCTACCTCTGTATCGTAAGGCAGTAGAAGCCTCTGGATAGCCAAGCCTTCAAGGGATTGTTACATAGTACAACCACCAAATGTACAAATAAAGTAATCATTGGGAAGTAGATAACTGTACACTCCTAAACTCTCTGAAGTCAGTTCCATCCCCAGCCCTGTCCCTCTCCTGTTTTAGACAAAACTGACTATTAAGCACAAGAGTGATGCACCTTGATGAAAACAAAACTGGTGGTTGGCACGTGCCCTGTGTTGTGCTGGGCTATATCCAT